GCGGGTGGATTGGGGGTGGCGCGGGGTACCCGGTGTCCGGCGGCGAACGGTCCGGGCGCTTTGGTACCACCGATAGAAGGTATAATTACGCTACCGGGTATAAATTGACTCTGTGTACCACTGAATCATACTGAATATTTGTAATGTGTTCCTTCCCTAATAGATGCTCTCTATGAATAGAGAGAGTGCCTATTTACTCTGAAATACTTGGCACAGTGAGTGGAGTCTGAAGCATGGAAGAAGTGGCTATTATTTTCCCACTGCCTGTGTGCAGCTGTCATTTCTGAGCAACACGTTCCTCGTTCCTCGCACATCCCAGCTTCCAACCTTCCTGATGGTCCGCCCCAGGATTACAACAAGAAGAGAATGGCATGCCACCTCATTCAGCCAAAACCTTAACACTGTGGTTTGTATTTGACTGAACCCAGGACGTAAGCATTGTGGCTTGTATTAAGTCATTGCAGATAACTGCTATGATCACTGTTGTTTTTTTTTTTTTCCTTTCTTTTTTTTAACCGGGAGGATGGCTCTTCCCCTGCCTCCTGTGTATGATTTGAATATTCAGTGATGTCATGTTGTTTGACCTCCGCTTTAACGCAAGGAATGCCAATGTTTTGGCTTTTGACCTGTGGAAGTATGTTAGTGCTTAGTAAGAGAGACTGGCTTAATGCATCACAATAAGCAATCTAAAATCTGGTAGTATCTTAAGAGATACCTCATCTTTTGTATGCAGGCTTTCACCCACTGCCATTCTTCCTTGCTCCCCACTTCTTTCCATCCCTCCGTATGTAGGCATACTTCCATGCTATGATGCTGTGATAATAAAACAAGATTCATGAGGGGAAAAGAAAGTCTTCCATGTAATGCCCCAGTAGGACCATTGTGCTGTAAAACTGCTACTTATATTCTGCCAGCATTGTACTGCATCTGGTAAAGGCATTTGGATGTCATTTCTTCTACTTGAAGTTCTCCATTAAAAGAAATTAGATTGTCTTTGAAAGAAAAAATGAACCCCAGAGGAACAGTTATGGTAAATAATATATGTTCCCAAAACCATGAGGTCTCCTAAAATCTGTATTTACTTGAAGGACCCCAGTGGCCTCAGTGCTGGGTAAATAGTATGTGTACCAAACTATGTATGACATGCATACCAAAATGCAAATGTAACCAGGTAAACAGAATGCCTTTTTTAAATGCCTAAATATGGTAGAACATCAGAGAGAGAGAGAGAGAGAGGCTCTAGACATGTTTTATAACTTTCCATGTAAGAGGTTTTTTCAGAGATACAATTTTATTAAACAGAACCTAAGAATCTCACTGACAGAAAAAGTATGTTTAAAAGTAACAAACTCCCAGAAAGCCAGGAAATCCAAAATTAAAGGATAAATCTGTCCTAAGTCCTCCCACTGCAGGCCAAGTACAGCAAGCCTCATACACTTGCTGCCCTGAGAAAAATGGCTTGAATAGTAACTTGAATTCAGAACTAATTCTGGTCTTGCACCACTGTGGATCAGGCATTAGCCCACTAAATTACAAGTTGTATCAGCACATGAAGGTCGGTGAGAATCAGAGTCCCCAGGGGTGCCTTTTGGTCATCTTGGTTTCCGTGTTAGATGTGTCTAACAGTGGGTACCTCATTGGTGCGTGTGTATGTACACACAGGGGCAAAGGGAACTTGGAAGCAAAGGCAGTTCTTGCAGACTCCAATCTATCCTTAGCTTATCCTTTCTGATGGCAACCACAGAATCCTCAAGGTTGGAAGAGACCTTGAAGATCATTTAGTCCAGCCAGCAATGTCACCCCACCATAATCACCCCTAAACAGTATCCCCGGATGCCACATCCAGGTGCCTCTTGAGTATGCCACAGGTTGGACAAGTACATCCTGGAACTGATGCATAAAATGGTTAAAATGCACTAATTTTGACTTCCATGCAGGTGTTTATACAGCACATGCTTTTAAGATAGTATATTTTTTCTGCTGAAACTAGGAATTCACTACACCGGCCTTGCAGACTTGTTTACACAGCTATATACGGTATGTGTGTGTCTACATCAGCTTCAGTTGGTGAAGTCTTGTAAAATGTACAGGTGTGGATTTCTACATTCCTCTCTTGTGTTTTTCCTTCTCTTTTTTTTTTCCTGCTTCCCCCCAAAAAGTCACTTGATCAGGTATCAGACATAGTGAAAACCTGGCAAGACTACAGGAAAGTGGCTAGACTTGGAGTGCTTGTGTACTTAAAGAAAGAATCTTGTACATTTTCAACTTGCAGTCACAGATATTTTTTTATAAGAGCAATTGGAGGTCTGAGCCAGCCCTCAAAGCGGAAATCAAAAGCTCCCAGAGAAACATACCCGAGGAATGTGAATCTGATCCAACAACCATACGCAATGCACATACAGTACTGTCAGTCTTATAGGAAGTCTTGCCATATATGGACATCTGGACCCTGAGCTGTTTATCATCACGATAGGCTTGTAGCTGGCTTCAGACATTTCTGGCTTGCCTTAGGTTTAGTGTGCCAATTAGTTCCTTTCCCAAAATGCTCACCAGGATATTTCTTTAAAATTGTAATAAATACATCTCAAAATTTGGAGAGGTCTGGTTAAAGTTACGTTAGTAGGCTTTTGCTTAAAATGCAGATTCCAAGAAAGACTTACTCTGCTAGCTCAGAAATAGACACAGAGTAAAAACAAAGAGATTTATTCCATCATGAATGTGGTTGCCTGGTATTTCTCTTTCTTAGAAGTCATCTGGTAGCTTATTCTATGTATCTGTAGGCGTAGAAAGGGCTCTGAAGTAGATCACTTGCTGAACTTTTACTCATCCTTTCCTGGGCAGATGTGTGATCTCATCAAGCAACAAAGGCAAAGAAAAGACCACATTTCCCAAGATCTGTCAAGCAACTTATCTGTGTTGTGCAATTTGTACTGCTCGGTTAGAGTGGTACAAAGCCTTTCACCTTGTAGTTACCACAGTTCACATTAGCTAATCTTACTAATGAGAGCCATTAGCTCTTCTCCAAAGTGAACCAGAATTAGAAGGCAGGGAAGGGCAGTGGATGGCATAGGCTATGGACATGTTTGCTGCTGAAATGGTGGCTCTAGTCCAAATTCCTCAAAATACTGGTTCAGGTTCTCTGCTAGCATCAGTTGGGTAGTTCACTAAATGCACTGTTGGCCATCAAAATACTGGGATTTAAAAAGTCCAAGTCCATTGGGCTGAAGCAAAATCATCAGGTGCAATTCCCATTAGCAGACCTGAGTTTTGTTGTTTTCCATAATGTCATTCTTTATGTGTTAACATGCAAATATTGTTACTTCGAGACCCCCTGAGAATGCTGCTTTAAGTTCTTGGCTTTATTCTTAAAAAGTAACTGGAGTTTTTGTGAATGTGTGTGGTCTTAAACCAGCAAAGTGATTACTGGAAGTAGAGTAATCTAAATGGGTATTCAAAGCACATGTAAAACTATTTGTACGAAAGTGAGATTATGAGTACTAGGAAGCTAAATGTCTTTTACCTACTCTGCCTCAGATTCAGTTTATCTTATTTTATTCTGAAAAATTTGCCACAGATCTGGTCTTAGAAACACTGTAGGAGCAGCATTCACTACTTGTGTGAGGAGGCTGGCAGTGTCCTGGGTTTTTCTAGGGAAGCATAAAGTCCTTCCACGGCTCACAAAGGTGAGTAAGGAGGGAGAGAGTCTCAGTTGTTTATTTCTCAAATTTGAATTTGACTGAGGTTTGCAACTTCTTGCTGT